AGCGACTTCCCCTCCCCCTGCGCCGTGGCGGGGCACGCGCCTGGGCGCGCACCCGGTCTCGCTGCGACTCGCACTCTCCTGGGACTGGCTTCTCATTTCTGCGAGCCGGGACTTGCCGCCCTAGTCCCCGAGGGCTCCCCCTGGAATTCGAACACGCTGGAACCGTCTCAGGCAAGCCGGCTTGCTCCATCAGATATTCCTCCCAGCTCGGGCCAGGTGACCACCCCTGAGCGCGTGCGGGGCAAGCCGAGGGGGAACTCGCGCATGTCTTGATGCAACCGGGTCGCCAAGGGTTCATTTCAGGTCACTTGGTCATCCCCCCCTGCCTCCAGGTAGGGCCAGGAAGTCAAGCTTCATCTTTGCCTGGCCCTTTTTTTCCTTCATGGAGTGTACATTCGAAGTTATACGAACGTGGAGTCTCCCACGTTGCGGAGATTGGGGCGGGGGGGGGGGCCTCTGGGAGCAGGATTTTGCTTTGAGAGAAAGGGGAGCAGGGAAAAGTAACCCCTGATCCCAGGTGCCAATAAAATCCCCATAAGATTAGCTTGGAGCATATTTATTGCGTATCTGGGCTAGAATTACCTTGACTGACAGCAATTTCCTTAGTAAGAAAAGCCTGTAAACAACACGTCTTCAACCTGCGCCCCTGTTCAGTTCGTGCGGTTCCCCCATCTGTATGAGTGCCCCTTCCCCCGCTGCTGCCTTGTTGGGTACCCACGTAGTAACCTCTTACCCACCCCTTACAAGAACGTCTCCCTGTTGGGAGGGTGGGTCCCAGCTATTTAGGGTTGCCTGTTGCGGGAAGTCTGGGAGGTGAGTCATGAAGAGCAGGCCCAGTTAAAAGCGCTGATGAGACTTGCCGCCCGCCCCCTCTGCACATCCTTGGGCGGGAGAAGGAGAGACAGCCAGAGAGCCGGCCCTGTAATCCCGGGCAGCCTTTTCCAGCCCTGGACGTGTTCAGGCTGGGAGTCCTGGGCCTCAGCCCCAAAGACTCATCCAGCAGGCCCTGGGTGCACAGGGAACCAACTGCTTTTACACTCCCCGCCTGGGTGGGTGTGCGCAAGTCCTTTAGAGAGGTGCTGATTTGGGGAGGGGGCGGGGTCAACTCCTCGTTGCCAACTACTGTGGTTCTGGGAGAAACTAGGCCTGAGAACTCCCAGTTTCTGGTGGAGCCAAAGGGACGGAGGAGAGCCACTCTCCTGCCTGCCTGTCTGTTCTGACATTCCACCCTCAGGCTGACCTCGCCTTGGGGACTTTGTCATCCTATTTCCCAGGTTACCCAGCCAGGAAGCGCAGGAGGGAGGGATCGGTCCAGACCTAATTTCTCTTCCCACCCCACCCCACCCCACTCTGGCAAGAAGGCAGGCGAAGTGGAGGACAGGCTTGGCCAAGGACTGCAGAGAAGAGACTCACTACAGACAGGCTCCATTCTTCTTTTTAAAGGCCTGTCGGAAGGGCTGGCCATGGCCTTCATTAGATCCCATCCCACCATAGTGACCGGGTCACCTCGTCTTCCAACAGGAACGATATCCCAGCAGCAGAGAGCCAGACTCTTGGTGCCCAGCACTTGCTCAGGTCTATGTAGAAAACTCGAGCGGGGGAGACCCCAACAGGCTGCATAGCTTCTGCCCTCATCTATTATCCTTGGAGCCTCCTAGTGACTAACATGGGACATTACACCTCCAAACTACTCCAGTTCCCAGCACCATGGTGGGGCTAAATCTTTTTGCTTGGGGCTTTCTCTCCGTGCAAGGTTAACACCCCAAGCCTTGTAAAGCTAAGGACTTGTAAAGATCACAGTCTCTTTGCTCTCTGTTTCATGGCAGAGGTCACTAACACCCAGATGTTCAGCCATATATCCTATTCAGTTCAGATGCCAGATCAGCTGAGTGACCAGGAGGGCTTATGTCCATGTCCTACAGGTAGGTGGAAAGACATTGAGAACCCCAATGGTCCTTCACAAGTGTCCTATACACACCGTAATTTCATGAATGGTCTAGGGAGGTGGGTGTCACGTGCCCCTTTGAAGCAGGAGGAAATTAGGCCCAACATATATAAGTCTCTCCTGCAGGACCACACAGGGTCCCTGTTGAATCTGAGCTGGAGTGGGGGGGGGGCAAAAACAAACACCCTGCCAGGCAATTCCAAAAGGGAATGTCAGGTCCAGAAGCTGGCCTGAGGTAGGCAACAACCCTGTTACTGCTTGGTTCACTTTCAGGATGTGGATTTTGTGGTCCTGGTGTCCCTGTGACCCTCAGGCTTCCTCTAGCACCAGCTTTCCAGAGAGGGGCTGTAACTGTCTCAATCCCTCATCCCTTAGTTCCCAGGAAAACAGGGGTGTGTGGGGGTGTGGGGCACTAGGCTAGGCTGCCCTGGCTTCATAAGAAGTTTGTTATATAGGGTGTGTGTGTATGTGTGTGTGTGTGTGTGTGTGTGTGTGTCTTGTGTGTGTGTGAGTGTGAGTGTGTGTGAGTGTGAGTGTGTGTCTGTGTCTGTGTGTGAGTGTGTGTGTGTGAGTGTGTGTGTCTTGTGTGTGTGTGAGTGTGAGTGTGTGTGAGTGTGAGTGTGTGTCTGTGTCTGTGTGTGAGTGTGTGTGTGTGAGTGTGTGTGTCTGTGTCTGTGTGTGAGTGTGTGTGTGTGAGTGTGTGTGTCTGTGTCTGTGTGTGAGTGTGTGTGTGTGAGTGTGTGTGTCTGTGTCTGTGTGTGAGTGTGTGTGTGTGAGTGTGTGTGTCTGTGTCTGTGTGTGAGTGTGTGTGTGTGAGTGTGTGTGTCTGTGTCTGTGTGTGAGTGTGTGTGTGTGAGTGTGTGTGTCTGTGTCTGTGTGTGAGTGTGTGTGTGTGAGTGTGTGTGTCTGTGTCTGTGTGTGAGTGTGTGTGTGTGAGTGTGTGTGTCTGTGTCTGTGTGTGAGTGTGTGTGTGTGAGTGTGTGTGTCTGTGTCTGTGTGTGAGTGTGTGTGTGTGAGTGTGTGTGTCTGTGTCTGTGTGTGAGTGTGTGTGTGTGAGTGTGTGTGTCTGTGTCTGTGTGTGAGTGTGTGTGTGTGAGTGTGTGTGTCTGTGTCTGTGTGTGAGTGTGTGTGTGTGAGTGTGTGTGTCTGTGTCTGTGTGTGAGTGTGTGTGTGTGAGTGTGTGTGTCTGTGTCTGTGTGTGAGTGTGTGTGTGTGAGTGTGTGTGTCTGTGTCTGTGTGTGTCTGTGTGTGTGAGTGTGTGTGTCTGTGTGTGTGTGTGTGTGTGTCTGTGTCTGTGAGTGAGTGTGTGTGTCTCTGTGTGTGTGTGTGTGTGTTTGTGTGTGTGAGTGTGTGTGTCTGTGTGTGTGTGTGAGTGAGTGTGTGTGTCTGTGTGTGTGTGTGTCTGTCTGTGTGTGTGTGTGTGCGTGCATGTGTGTGTGTGTGTGTGTCTGTCCCGTATCCTTCCATCCTATTTTCTTGAGGCGGGAGGTGCAGAATCTAACTTCGGATCACAGTTTGAAATTTCACCTGTATCCTTCCATCCTTTTTTGTTGAGGCGGGAGGTGCAGAATCTAACTTCGGATCACAGTTTGAAATTTCACATCCGAGCCTTGGGCAGAGGGCCCCACACTTTTTTTTTCACTCCCCTCCTGACAACCTGAAAGAAGCCTTTGTGGGCTTGATGGGAGAGGTGAGCGGCTGCCTGCAAAACTAACTTTTCCATGACTCAGCCCTGCTGGGGCTGGGCACAGCTAGGGAGGTGCAAGGAACAACCCCCCTGTAGGGCCAGCTGGAGCCTTGTGGCCAAGCTGCTTCCAACGTTCCTGGTTTGTGATTAGAGACAGGGAAGAGAGGTTGCTGGCCTCAGGGTTAGAAGTAGGCAATCTAGGGACTGGGGAGATGTTTTAGTGAGTAAGAGCACTTGCTGTGTGTGCTGGCTGGTTTTTACATCGACTTGACACAAACTAGAGTCATCTGAGAGGAGAGAACCTTAATTGACAAATTGTCTCTAGAAGATCAGGCTGTAGGCAAGCCTGTGGCACACTTCCTTAATTGGTAATTGTTGTGGGAGGGTCCAGTTCACTGTGGGTGGTGCCATCCTGGGCTAGTGGTCTTGGATGCCATAAGAAAGTAGACCAAGCAAGCCATGGAGAGCAAGCCAATAAGTAGCTCCCCTCCAGGGCCTCTGTATCAGCTCCTGCCTCCTGCCCAGACTTCCTTTGATGATGGTCTGTGATGTGGAAGTGCAAACGAAATAAACCCTTTCTTCCCCAAGTTGCTTTTGGTTGTGATATTCCATCACAGCAAAATAAACCCCGAGACACCATGCAGGCATGAGGACCTGAGTGTGGGTCCCCGGTACCCATGTGAAAAAGGTGGATGTGGCAGTGTCCTACTGTAATCCCCAGGGCTGGAGGTGGAAGGGGGCAGAGCAGACGGGTGGGTGGACCCTGGGGGCTTGCCAGCCAGCCAGCCAACCTAGCTGAAAACCAGCAAGCTCCAGGTTAGTGAGAGAACCCATCTCAAGGGAGTGAGGCGGAGACCAACAGGAGAAATTTGAAGTCCTGTTTCAGGCCGCTGTGTATGTGTGCACTGGGACGCTTTCTCCCATGCATATGCAAGTGCAGGCGTGCACACTCACACACAGCGGACTGCCTGAGCTAGTTTTACATCCTTCCAAAGCAGCCAGTGGCTTCTTGACCACCGAGCTTGTTTAATGTTCCACCCAGTCCCAAGCAATGAAGGCTGAGTGGATTTTCTTTTACAAAGCTCTCTCCCTGCCTCCATCGCAAATGGGCCTTCAGAGTTGAGATATAGAAAGGCTTGCCTACCTCAGACTTTGCTCAGTTCAGGGGTGGCTCCATGCTACTGGGGGACAGCTGAAACACCAGCCTGGGGACCTCGCCATGGTCCCTTCCCTCGTAAGGCACTGATGGTTGTGCAGAAGAATCCTAGAAGA